CAAATAGTACATTAACAACAGTAAATAAAAATATACACATTTAATTATAATTGAGAAACGATGCAAGTTTATAAAAATGAATTAAGAGGTATAATACATTTTTTGGACTGGTGTAGTTTTTAAAATACGAAATTTAATGACTAACGAATATACAAATTACAATGACTGTTACTCCTTAATATTTAGCATCGAAGTTTAAAAAATATCACCCTTGGCTTTCTTTTCATTCAATTTCCGGAGTGATCAATTTCACTTTTTTTGTACTAAAACTTGTATTAAAGAATCATACATTAAAATGTATATTCAGTTTATAAATAGTATTATTTATTTAAAATTCAAGTACTACCATATGTTACTTTTTGAGATTCATTCATAGTTCTTCATATTCGGTAGGTACTTTAACTTGTACAATATATTATTATACACTTCCATCTGGCGCTAGGTCGAGATGATTTTTTCACCTTTTATTCTACACCTGTTTTAACTAATTTGTTTTATTTTATATTCCCGAATGTCATGTCTGGAGCTATTCAATCAAATGTTCTGAACATCTATTACTTATACCTAAAAAATGTTTTGTTTAGTTTATAGTTTTATACTATAATGAATAATAGATATTTTATAACAATGAATTTGAGATTTCAATATTATTGGAAATAATTGATGATAGAGATAGTTTTCAAGTTAAAACGAAGATTTTTAATTATCAAAATGCCAAACTAAAAGTTGGTTGATTACTTGGATCAAAAGAAAATTTTAAACTAACGGTGAACTCAAAACTTAATAATACTTAATAATAATCGTATACTGTTACTTTCAAGTGAACCATTAATATTTAATTTACTATTAATAAGATATATTAATAGTTAATTCATCATTTAAAGTTTGATTTTTGAATAATTTTACAAATTGTCAAAATAATCATTAGAAATTATTTATGTTTTCTTTTAATTTACATTAAATTTACGGATTCTTAAAACATAAAATAATTATCTTATATACTTAGAATGAAAAAAAACGTAAATAATAATAATAATTTTTAAAATAGCACCATAGAAGTGTTAACTAATAATTTTACAAAAATTTGTTGATTTGATTTATTTACTGACAGAACGGGTCAACGTAGATAAGTAAGGACATAAAATATTTGGCACTACGGTAGGTTTATATCAACTATTTTCTAAATATTAAAGGTAAAATATCTAAATTATAATTAATCAACATTTTTTCTTAAACGTCATAATTTTTTTTTTTTTACTTTAGTCATTGTTATTTTTATTTGATTCGTTTGAAGATCTAAAGTAACAGCGTGAAAAGTGGAAGTGATCCATATTTCTAAAAAAACATTGCACAACGAAGTCTGAGAACTTATACACATTACCTAGCCATGGAGGATACTTTTATGTTTTATAAGAATGCACATTAGTTAATTGTCTGGGATTTGAAAATTATTATTAAATATGGTCTCTCTTTTTCACACCATTAAAAGGGACCGATTATCGCACCCGGAGAAGCGGCGCTGTCTTTCTGACATTAGTATACGCGATGCGGTGTCTCAGCAGGAATCGATTGCAACGGTTTTGCTTTTCCCCATCGGTCGTTTTGAAACAATTCAAATTTTTTCCGCATATCTAAAAAATAAAGGAGAGAAAATAATCACCCAATGCCGAAACTAAAATGGGACGTGCGCCCTTATTATACGAACAATTATCTATGCAGTGACAACTCGTCAACAGCGTCGGATAGCAATAAATAATACTAAAATTTTATTTTTCAGAAATTACATTATTATCATTTGTCACGCAATTTAATTACCAGGAAAATAATAATACAGATAATATTTCTGTGTTTTGGAAGAGGATAAAGATATTTGAGACAGGCATATGAAATCGTTGCAGAAAGTTGATTAAAACAAATTACAAGTACAAAATAGCAGACAAACCATAAAAAAAAAACGCGCAAATAATATCTGAACCAGTTTGCACACTGCACAATAGAATTGTATGAGCCTTCCACATGCCGCCGTATAATCATAATACGAAGGGTACACACATTATATTTTATTACTCAGTTTTATAATATAATTTTTAAGCGTGCCCGAGTTTCGAATATATAATCACACACTGCACGCTACTTGTGTTTTGCACCAGTCTTTCCATTAGGCGAATTATGTACACAAAAACGATCCAAATAATAATTGAAAAAAAAAAGGATTATAATGTGAGACCATTGATACAATAATAATAATTTCTATATTATTCGACGGTGGCTCAAAAATCAATTGAATAGTGTCTGACACATTGTTTCACTACTGGAAACAACTTTTTACACGTCACAAAGGCCCTTGCACTCATTATTTTTGTTGCACATATACTAAACAATATAATTATGTAGAGTCACCGCATTTTTAATACTTTTGGACCAATTGCTTAACATGTATTTAGGTTTAAACCAGATGCACGCGATATTCCGCCGAATTGGTCCACCACAATAATTTAACTTCGGCGTTTTAATTACAAAGAATAATGTATGGAAAGAAAGGTATGAACCAGACGAGGTACAGTGACCGTTAGTGAATTGTTGCTATTATGTTCACAGGAAGTAATTTTTATAGAACTGGTTGAAGTTGATGTTTCGATTTTTAAATAAGAAGTTCCCTGTTACAGAGAAAATATACTCAAAATTATTTTTTGTCTTCTGTTAAACCAAATTTTTGCTTAAAGTAGCCTTTAGTGAAGTTAGACAGCGTATAAAGTCTCAAAACCTACTATGTCATCGACATGAAATAAAGTGTTACCGTCAAATACACACTTTAATTAACTTAAGCTACACTTGCGTCGTGATACAAAATAGTACTGAAAATAATATTAAAAATATTGAAACTTAAATTTTGTGTAAAAAGATGTAAAAAGTTACAAGGTCTTAATCTTATATTGATATTATTAAAAAATATTTGATTTTTAAATTAATACTAGTATCATTATTAATTTATTAGGAAATGATAATTATCAACAATTTTAATGATTATTGTGATGGTTGTATTACAACATCGTCGGCTGTGGATGTTAAATAAAATTAGCTTAAAACCAAAAATATTCTGCTATTTATTGGGTCTTTTTTTTTTATATAACATGGGTTATATACATTTAAATAACTATAATAAATAGCACCGAAATATTCCTAACAGTTGAGCGCTAATTGGAGAGCCGGCGTCGCGTTTCCGTTACAGATTTCAATTTAAAAAAAACTTGTAAAAAAAGTACAAGTCTACTAATTTAATCTGTATGTGTCGATGAAAGAAATTCATCAGTCATCGGGTTCAGAAATTGGCGTGTCGGCATATCTAAGACACGTTATTACTATAAGGTAATCTCACCGTGTAGGTTTTTTCATGTGTACACTAATCAGTTATTTTAGGCGCCAATAACTATTTTTTCAGGATATTTGTGGACATTACTACACCATTTTCTTAATGATCATCGACAACCTATAATAAAATCTCTAAATAAATATAGTCTGCCCTATTAGTTTTTTATCAATACTCTATTCCAATAATATGGCGAATAATGGGTATTTACATTTCACTCGTATAATACGAAATCATTGTGAATTTTTATTACTAGAAAATAATTCAATGATAGGCTTATTAAAAAATTATGATAGATAATAATTAAAACATTAGTTTAGATGCGAAGCTGAGAATGTATTGATTTTACAATGTGCTTTTTTTTTTGTTCTGGTTAGGCAATATAACTCTAATCATTTAGATTTTGTTATGCTTAGATTTTAATCAATATTAATATAAGTTTCAGAATTATTTAAAATCAATTTTATTGTTACATTTTTTTATTCATCGTTGCTAACGTTGGCGTTAATCGTGATGGAGGGAGAAGATAGCCCCCAAAATTGTCCGCATCCCTCTCACCAATTTCATAAATTTATAACAATGGTAACAAATAATATTAAATAGAAAATAATATTTTAATATTTTATTATAACTGTAATATTGTTTTTGAAAATAATGTCGGGAGACTTTAATGCTTTACTATGCTATTGTCTAATAATATTATAATTTATACATTACTTTGATAAATTATTTACATGTTCTTAATTTATTATATCACTTTTGATTATTGCATTTTTTATAACAACTTACTATTTATAAAACAATATGAAGTCATTGGTAGGCATAATTATTGATTTTTTTTTAAATTTGGTTTTTTTGTTTTATGGAATATATATGTGTCCAGTTAATTACTTCTTGGTGGTAGCACTCCCTCCGGATATACACCGGTTTCAAATTCTATACTTAAACAAGGGATTATAGTTGACGTGTGCTTCAGAGGTCTACTTCCTTAATTTAAAGCATACGATATATGATCTTCCTTCATCCGTTCATCGCTTAACGGTCACGGGTAAAAGTATTTAAACAACTGAACCAACTTGAAACCATATCTACGCGAAAAGCTTTGTTACAAAGCTTCCTTCATTATTCGATGGATAAAAATCTACACTGATTTCTTTTACAGAGAAATAGTTTTTAAATATAATATTAACTTAAACTTAATGTTTTAAAAACATTTATTTATAAATTTTTTTATGAAGTTTGAAAACAAAGTAAATATATTTAATTCTGTGGATATATTTGTTTCAAAATTTCTAATTTAAATACCTGCAAAATTGACTCGCACATAATAATCTCTAACATAATGTGAAATAGATTAATTCGTTTTATAATAAGCAATATTATAAATATAATTTAATTAAATTTTTTTTTTTTGTTGTGAAATAAAAATATTTAAAATGAGATCAAATTCAACGCAATAATCGTGATATTTTTCGTGACTCAAAATCAACATTTCGTTAAAGAAAAATTAACTGCAGCAAACTCATTAAAAATGATTTTCTGGCGGTAGATCTTCACCAAAGATTTCATTTGTGTGCGATCACTATGGGGCGGAGCAAAACGTGAAGGGCAAACGTTATAAAACACGTTGCCGGTCCCTTCCGGCAGATCAGTTGTGGTTCTTCACTAACCCCGTGCACACATATTACACACTAAAACTGTACTCTTGTTCACGTCGTGTTATTTGTTGTTCAAGTGCGTACTGCAGTTCGTTTCTCAGCATCAAACTTCAAAAATGGCATCAGTTTTAAATTGCATGAACTACGCAAGTGGTGTTTATTTTTCTGCCGACGAAAGACAGTTGACGAGATACGTCGATTATGATGCGGCGGGTGACACTTTTCGCGCTGTCTACGAGGCGGCATTTTCCGGCGGTGGTTCGCCAGTCAGTTCTCCGTCCACCGTAACAACTGCCTCTTCTTGTGGAGATCCTAAGTCCCCATACGGATCTAGTGGCAATGGATTGTCCGGTAGCGATGGACTTTTGTTCGACGAACAAGACGGCATGTCTATGATCGGCGTAGATGATTCTGCTGCTTTAGAAGGCGACAAGGACGTAACGGACCGCGTGATGAAGAAACGACGTTTGGCTGCCAATGCTAGGGAACGTCGACGTATGCAGAACCTGAATAAAGCTTTTGATAGGCTACGTACAGTCTTACCGACACTTGGAAACGACAGACAGCTCTCCAAGTACGAAACACTGCAAATGGCTCAGACTTACATTACGGCCTTATACGACTTGCTCCAGTGAAGGTTTTCTATTATGTATTTATTATAATTTGTACAATATTAGATTTAGAATTCTTCACTTCTCTTGTCGAGACATTATTTTCTATCAATTTTATTTTTACAGTGACTTTTAAAAATCAGCTCTGTTATTGTAATTTATTTTATAAAACTTTTTTGTTAAACACTTTTTAGTTTCAATTAATTTTATCGTATAAAACTTTTTAAGCATTACAGTAAAATTATTAACTACACTATAATATTTTTTTAGAGCTAACAATACTTTTCTATTATTATTTATAAATTTGATAAAACATTGTACATATGTGTCTGAAAATTGATTAATTGGAACGTTCAATTATAAAAAAAAATTATTTATTTCGCATGCTCTTCTATCAATTTTTCCGTCCTGTAATAATAAGTCACATTTTATGTATTTACGTTTTGCCCATGCCTGTGATAATTGTATAGATATTTTATTGTAATTATATTATAGTTGTATGTATGTTAAGTTGATTGTATATCATTCGTTACATGTACAAATTATATTTTTGTTGATTTAACACAACGTGCTCAATAAAGTGACGAAGCTTAAAATAATAATATGTAAAAATAGGCGTTGATTTAATTTTATTTATAATCCTTAGGTAAAGCCACTGTTTATATGTACCCAGTGATGACACAGGGCGGAGTCGTTTCCTATCCTATGACCCCCTCGTGGGCGTTGTGTATATGTTATAACTTTTTAACCTTTATTCCTACCGTTTCCCTCGACTTGTTAAATAATACATCGTTAATTGAGTAACACGTTTATGGGGGAAAAAACACCCAGAAAGAATAAAAGGGTAAGTAACAACTGCGGACGACTTCCGTTCACACCGAATCTCGGAACCAAGGGTGAATCTTCATCTCGTAGCTAAGACAAAAGTACAAGTGAACAACTTGTATTTCTCACGCACAACGAGTTCAATCTACTGTTTACTATACTTTGTACTCCACGTTCAAGGGCAATAGTTAATGAATACTATAGGTACATTATCATAATGTTTATGAATGAGATCGATTTATAGGCGATGTGTATTTTTTTACTTACTACACGAAAAACCGATGCAGTTTAAAAAACAATGTGTGATAATTATTAGTTATTTCTTTTGTTTGATGATTATAATTATGTTATGAGTTTCTTTGAAGGTCCATAAGACGTCGATGAAACGGATGTAGAGCAGACAAATCTTGAGTTATAATTGTTTCGATTCGGTGGTACATGGCACTTGAGGTGTCGGATCTGACGGCTTCATCAAAAATCTGACAAGGGTACTTGCACAGAACGCTATATATTACAAATGTTAAGTAGTCTGATAATAATGAGAAATTACTAACCTTTAACCGTTTATTACAGTTAATAAAACGTTAATACCTATTGCTAGGGTAATTAATCTCAGGTGATATCAGCTCGAGATTTATCAGATGTGTAATTTATACAACAAGTTAAAAACACTTGTCAAGTTATCGGCTACATTGTTGAAAATGTTAGGTATTGAAATTTTATAAATATAACTATATTAAATAATCTAACCATTTTAATATTTATTGGTTAATATTGTATTCATATAAAACAAAAAGTTAAACTATAAATAAAATATTTCTATTAAGAGACTTTAACGATTCATGTGTTTTTGATAATTTGTTATAAACGGTTTTATAGTCCTAAAATAATATAATGATACTATAAAACACATAAAAATTGAATTATCGTCATCAAAAAATTCCACTGAAAATAAGCGATCATCATATAATGTATGCTAAGTTAATAATAATTTTTTTGAGTTTATTTTTTAAATTCGATATGCACATGAGAAATTATTTGTTTTTGATTTGTGTGTTTTTAATATTTAAGTATTAATTAAAATTTAAATAAAGACTGAAAAAAGTTTTTAAAAATATATTGATGTTATTATAATATCTAAGTGATAATTTTAAACTTAAAATGGACTATAATCAATAATCAATCTAATATTCTAGTCAGTCTTTGGGCTATATGAATATATGAAGGCAATATTTATTTTTTGTTGTGGAAATGCCGTCACCATATTATAATATATTTAGTAAATTATATCCACTCGCTCGTATTCATTTATTTTAAATATTCCTTACTTATAATTTAAAAAATGGCCTATTTGTTTTTGTTTTAAGAATTGTTCAACATTAATTAAATTTTTAATTTCACAAAATTAAAAATTAATTTCTGTTGATGTATTTAATACTGAACTTAATCCTTTCAAAAAGTATTTTTTTTAACAATATTTATTATCGTATAGGTATTTTAGTCTTGGCCAAAAAATAAATTCCATACACTATTCCAATATCTCCTTGAAGATAATTTTAAAAGTTTGGAATTTTTTAAAACCGACTGATCGTGAGAGACTGTGTGAGAATTAAAAGTTAAAAACGTCCGAGTTGTGAAATGTCGGTCAATTCTGCAACTAACGAAACACTACTCTCGCACAACATTATCCGCATTCTACTGTGTTTTTATATGAAAAAATAATTTTGTTTTTTGTTGTCGGCGACGTCAATCAAACGCCGTGCCATACCATTTCGCGACTAATTACCGTTTTGTTTATTTCGATTCGCATTATAGTTTTACATGTCTAGATGTGTTTAATTTTCCTTTCATCTTGTTCTTTTTAGTCTAAACACCCAATTAAGCTAACTCGTAGACACATTTAATTATTGCTGTGTACATTTTACCGATTGTTTGAAACCCTGTAACGGGTACAACCTTATTGTGTATAATTTGCACGCGGATCATCGTTCGTTTTCAGAACATAATCAGTGGTTAATTGTACTAAACGTCTGACGTGAAAAAGGAATTTTTTATTTGACGGGGTAAACGGTTTGAATAGTACGCCGAAACTGAATTGTCACTAATCGGGGCGTGGCCAGACGACCAGTCCGTGCGGTTTAATTACATATGTCTACTCGACTACGGCGCACTAATAATTTTGCGGAGTGCAACGTGTAACAGAACATTATGATTGTGTGTATCAACGCCTCTGGCCAGAGATTCCTTACCGCCTCGAGATCTTTAAGATAACTAATCAATTACATAACAGCGTAGAAAATATTTCAGAACAGATACTTGATTTGGTAAGAAAAGCAAACCTAAGTCTTGATGACGGTTGAAAGCAAAAAAGAAATGTTGATGTTACCGATTAAAGAGCATTGGATACATGAACCCATATAATTTTTGTTATAGTTAAAAAACAAGCAAATTTTATAGATAAATTGTACAATCCCTTAAGCTAGCGTTTCTACACTTTATAAACCCACAACGAGCAATAACTGTAATTGTAAAAATCATAGTTGAAAAAAAATAATAAGTATTCATAAATTTTGCGTCTTTAGTAATAATGTCGCGACCCCTGTTACGGTTTAATTTTATCTACTTATTTTTCAAGTTTTACGAAAGTCTTTAGAATCACTTGCTATAAGATCTAGACAAATATTTTGGTAGTACGTTCTCTCTAATTTAATTATTAGTGTAATACAATTATGTTTTCATTAGAGGTCGCATTTATACGTACTACGTACCTGCGATTTCATATGACAATGTTTATAGAGTACTTTCTTGAGTTTTATTTATTTATTAAAATTGTATTATTTTCACAGATGATTTTATAAGCTTGTCCATACAACTTTATTACATCGGTCACAGGTTTTCTAATTCTTTTGCCGATAATGTTAATACCAAAAGACGTTTATACTACTTAAAACATATTATATCATTGCTCGGGATTATTCTTTTCTCAGACACGACAAAATGAAACATTATCGACTTGTCTGGTCCGGCGAATTGGCTCACGCAAGCAGTCAACGATAATCCGATCGGTTTCCAGCAGCGACGTGTCATCAGACCCAAACCACCTATAACGGAGGCAATATTATAATGTGAAGGGGAGAATGAAGTACTCAACATCGAAAAAACACAACATCAACAAACTGCCCACCCAACGGTTTTTTAGGCACGGCAAACCTGTCTCGCGTAATTCAAAATCGTATAGAAAAAGGTAAAATATGAATCTCCGTCATTGTGGGCTGCTGTAGGTAAATTAGTGGTACATGCCAAATCGTGTGAACATAATCGACACGGACGGACCGAACGCCGTACATACGATAAAAACTCGATTTTTTTTCTTAAAAATCACACGCATAAGTTGCCACCGAGTCAGATTTTTAGGCGTTTATTGTTTCGTACGTGATCCGTCTGTAAGCAATTATTCCATCTTAATATCATATACTTAACTAAAGATTTAAGGTAAATATTTTTAGAGAAAAAAAAAACAAATTTTTATGGAAACAAAATTTCAATTTTACTTTCTTGATAAGTAAAAATTGGTTAGTACACTTCTTTAATCCCACACATTCGAAATAAATGATCAATTAATTGTAGTAATTTCAATATTTTTATTTTGTACTAGTATCATTGAATAATAATATACACAAATTCTAATAAAATTAAAATTTTATCATCCTCGATTATTTTTACATAATTAACATTATATGATATAATAATGAATTAACTTGCATTAAACCAACATATTTCTGTTTGACAAAATATAAAATAAAAAATTTAGATACACCACGATAGCACACAATTATTAGTTATATATCCTCTGGTGAAGATCTTAAGTCGTGGGAAACATACTAAGTTTTAAATTGTGTTTTTTGTTCATATATTGTTTGTATCGATTTGATATTTTTCTTATCATCTTGTACCTTTAATATAGTTAATATGTCGAACAATAAAATATGATATTTGTACAATAACGAGGTGCTAATACTCGAGGGCATAAATAAAAAATCACTCTAATGTCCTAAACGCTACGTTTATTTTTCAATTACAATGCCAGATCAGCACACCATACATCTCATTATGCGTCTTTACACTGTGTGAAACTAACATAAACTGTCCAATGATATTATTAATAAAAAAAAAAAAAAAGAGTACAACATTACTATCGTGATATCGATAGCAAACGGTTCAATACTTACCCTATTGTATTTATTATAGAATAGTAATGATAGGTGCCTTTTTTGTGTCTGAAGTCAGAAACTGAACGTAATTTATTTTATTATCTATTTTGTGTGTATGTGAAACACGCGATGCTACCGTACCAGAGTGGAAGTTGTAACAATGACGGCGTCGATAGTTTTTTGGGTATTATCTACACCATATAGTGGCTCGTATTATGATACATGGAACTAATTTCCGATCGAACATAAACAATAAGGGCGGCATCAATGCGGTTTTTTACAAAAGGTGCAAAAATATACGGATGATGAATTTGGATCAAACCAAATACTACGGTAACGAGATAATACAAAAATTATTGGGTGAATACATGGCAAATAAACACAGAGTTGTGCAAAAAAAAAAAAATCCCGGATACGCTTCCCGTTTGGCTAAACAAACATTAAAGGTGCAATTTCCTAATACCTTTCATATTATTTGAGTCCGATATGAACAAATAATGTGGGTTTTACTTTAAATCACGGTTATTTTAAAATATAGTTGTTATT